GCCTGTCCTTGGCTGCCACGAAAATACCAACACTCGCCAAGGTGTGTGTTCGGTTAAAGCACTGCACTGAAGATAAGAAATAATGCAATAGACTTGAACAAGAGATGTAGGAACTGCAACAACACAGAATGTACAGAGTAAAACACCACAGGAATGATTTCATCTGGTTTCCACTGGAACTCTCGAATCTAATTAAGCACGCACTACACAGGTCTAAATTTACTCCTGCAGGACCACCGTACTGGGTATTGATGCACACCGACTTCAAAAAGGGGAAACTCTGCATAATCCCTGGTGTTACATACCAAGTTGGCAAAACAACGTGCTCTGTGAGTCAACTTGTCCATCCGATTTTATCAACGAAAAAGAGGTGATAATTACTTGGGTGAGCGTGACCAAAGTGCAAGGGTAATGCCAAAGAAGCTGATTGCTGACTTGACACTCCCCCCTGAAGTTCGGGTGGAGCGGGTGGACACCACTGTCCCCCAAGCAGACTCGAGAGCGAAATCACCTTTACCGGTCCTGTCCGCCGCAGAAACATCAAGGGCTGAATCGATATTTGCAAATGCGTGGACCAAAGGGTCACTCGTTCGAAGGTGTGTGGCATCTACAAAGGACATTAACAAGACCATTATGCTATGTGCATGGCGGCAATGTCCCTCACCGATGTCATTTGCGAGAAAAAATATCGTTAGCATGACTGTGAAAAACTGACGCTCGGTCTTAGAAAGCCCGCATGCGTCGGCAATCGAACATCGGATAATGGTGATAATAAAGACAGAATTTTACACTAAAGCCATGTCTGACTCACTCAGATGGACTGCTTTCAGGCTTTCATCAACGATGTCCTTGATGAGATTGATTAACGCTGATTGCAGATCCGAACTAGCATCCGTAGTCTGTGTTTGTTCCTCTGTAATTTTCTGAAAGATGCAAATACGGCAAATAATGTAAACATGCAAGCCAAGGGGGTAAAATCCCCACGGAGAAACCATTTACTTGTTTGAGGTCAAGAGAGATTTCCTCAGCAAACACCTTTTTACACTTGCTCAATGACCTGGTCCACGGGATATCTACAGGCTGATTGTTGAGAGGACTCGTCAGCACGCACAGAAGCCAAGTCTGCATGCAAAAGAAAAAGAACATGCGAAAAAAAAGCAGATTAATGGCGCGAGGCAAGTCAGCACACGATGGAACCTCAAGTTAATATCAATTAGGGCTTTTTTCCAGACTTCGACCCCAGTTGCATAGACACGTGCAGACAGGCAAATGATCGCCTGTCCTTGGCTGCCATGAAAACACCAACACTCTCCAAGATGTGTGTTTGGTTGAAGCATTTCACTGAAGATAAGAAACGATGCAATAGACTTGGACACGGGATGTAGGAACTGCAACAACACAGAACGTACAGAGTAATATAACATGAAAAACAAACCTAAGTTAAGAATAACATACGATCAGAAAAAATCGCATCTTGAGCCTTCACATTGACTTGATTAGATCGCCACATTGAATCCAAATGCCCACGTCACACACACCAGAATTTCTCGAAAATGAGCATACTCTGTGTCCTACACGATTGACAAGGTAAAACAAAACACGGATCGCCCTTTAATGTTCACGATCGTTCAAACGTACCACAGTATATTAAGTAACTTCTTGTTGCTGCATAGGAAAACAAGCATGTTTACTGTGTTTTATCTAGTAGTTGCTAAATTTAAATAAACAATGGTATATTAACCACTCAACGCTGACCCAGGTTAAAGATTTTACTTTTTTATCATCGTTTATCTCTTTACAGCCGCAATTATAAAAAAGCATATCTTTTTTTAGACAGCAGTGATACATCTTCGCAAACGAATTTCAATTAGAATATTTTATTTTGTAAGTGATTTTATTTTATTTAGAGTTCCATTTCACATCCATGACAGAGCCACACAAATTTACAAATCCAAAATCGAAAATCAATTTTGTTTAGGATGCTGTTTTGGATATAACGACACAAGTGCTACAGGTAAATCGTCTTAATTTAAAGTGCAATTTTAATGATTGACATTTCCAGCTAGTAAAAACCCAATGAAGAAGCAAATTGAACTAACGAATCAATGCGTCTAAAATTAATATTTGCAAGAATATACAGTATTTCTGGCATTATTTATATTGAATTGTTAGTCAATCTGGCTCTGTAGCAATGGTGCAAATTATCGACAGATATAATCTAAATGCATAAAGACTAGTTGTTGCATAATTGAGAATTGATATTCTACTACTCTTGAAACCGTCTGATGCGCCTCATAGATTTATTAAGGAAACGCGTCAAAAATCGTGTAAATATTATTCTCTTGTAAATTGCGAATAT